ACATAGAGACAGAAAGCGAGAAATCACCCCCCAGGGGGGATGGTCACGCCGCAATCCCTTCTCCTCCATTCTCCTCTCGGGATCTTGGGCATACACGCACACGCGCCCAGCGTGAGTTTTAAGCCACCGGGTCCAGGACATGAACCGCGGTCGACTACGTGGGAATCCACCGACATAGCCATTACGCTAACTGCTGGTTCCCATGTGTTAGTTATTTTAATGCTGATGGTGGTCTAGTAATTTTAGGGCTAGAAAACAATGTAGTGTGACTAGGTCACTAAGATTTTACCCTCATCTCTTTCTGTTGTGACTCACATTAGCTGGTACTTAAGATGAGTTTATGGGGACCATCAGGTGGCATGGTGGTTAGGGGAACTGGACTCCCACATGGTCTACTGTGGTTCAATTCCCAGACCCGGTGGCTTGCTTTCTCACTTCCTCTTTCTCTCACTCTCATTCTGTCCCTCTCTGGTCAAATTAAAGTAAATAAAATAAAGATGAATTTATGCATATTTATCTTTTGAAGGTTATTTGGTAATGAGGGGCTCGCTCCCTCTTCCGCATTAACAACATAATTCACTGTATGCGGGTGTTATTGTAAGCCAATTAGGAAGACAAATGTAGAAACCTAGTTCAGGTATAAAAACAGGTGTTAACATCTGGGCTGGTAGTCTCTCCTCACTGACTGGAATGTAGTGATAAGATTGAAATCAGCTGTGTTTGTTAAGGAGTTCTCTTTTAAAGAAAAGATAGCAGTACTAGCAGATGGCAGTACTAGCAGATGGCATAAGCTGGACTCCCACGTAGTTGACTAAGATTTTAGTCCCCAATCCAGTGATTTAAAACTCAAGCTGGGGGACCAGCAGTTAGTGTAATGGCTGTGTCGCTGGACTCCCACGAAGTCGATCGCGGTTTGAGTCTTGGACCCTGCGGCTTAAACTCACGCTGGGCGCCTGAGCGTGCGTGCCCAAGATCCCTAGAGGAGAATGGAGGAGAAGAGATTGCGGCGTGGTCATCCCCCCGAGGGGTGATTTCTCGATTTCTGTCTCTTGTTTCTCTCTGTCTGTCTGGCAAACGCACTCGCCCTATAGCAAAACCCTCTCAAAACCAAACAAAACTCTAGCTGGGCGGGCCTGTGGATTTGGCGTGCCCAGAATCCGAGAGGAGAATGGAGGAGAAGGGATCGCAGCATGGCCATCCCCCCTGGGGAGTGATTTCTCGCTTTCTATTTCTGTCTCTCTGGCAAGCACTTGTGCCCTATAGCAAAAATCTCTCTCTAAAAACAAAAAAAATGACTTTACTCACTAGGTACAGAACTTCCACATTAAAATTAAGTTTCAACTATTTGGAGGGTGTAAGAATAGTTGATAATGACATTGTAGGAGAGAACTGCTGTCTTGAAATATTTATATATCAGATTATGTTTCTCGTGAGATGATTCTTGTAATTTTATGTTGCTTTTTTTAAAAAGGAATTATTTTATTTAACTTTATTTACTTATTTTAATTTGACCATAGAGAGAGAGGGAAAAAAAGCCAGAAAGAGAGAGAGAGAGGGAAAGCCTCTAGGTCCGGGACTTGAACCATAGTTGTCCACGTGGGAGGCCAGTGCTTGACCACCACACCACCTGCCAGTCCCTATGTTGTTTTTACTATCAGATTGTTCCTTTATTTAGCTGGTGTCCGAGAATGTCTATCAGTAAATGCTCTTCTGTATATTTGACATACTATGCTAACTTAAAATGTAAAGCCAAGACATAGTGCTTATTTAATAAGTGTGTTGATACTAGTTCAGGTTAGCATACTCACCCCAAAGTGCTTTATCTAAAGTTTCAAGGTGTTGAATATGTATCCCATCTGTGTTTTAACTCATTTGTCCTCATGAGTCCTCTTTCTTGGATAATGTGTTTAGTCAGGGTTCTCCAGGGAGAAAGAGCCAGTTGATGAGTGTAGATATATGAGATTTACTGGGAGGATCAGCTCATGAGATTATGGGAGCTAAGAAGTTCCACAACTGACCATCTGCAAGCTGGAGATCCTGGGTTCTGGTAGCATGGGTCAGTCCAAGTTGAAGGCCTTGGAAGCAGGCAAGCCTAATGTAACTCATAGTCCATAGCTGAAAATCCGAGAACCTGAGAGGCCGCTGGAATAAATCCTAGTCCGATGGCAGACGAGCCTTGAATTCTGATGTCAAAGGCAGAAGTCGATCTTGCTCTGGCTTGAGAGAGACTAGCATCTTCTGTGTTTATTCTCTCTAGGCCCCTTGTCTGGGTGAGAGCGCCCACATCTAGCCTACTCAAACTCCCTCGTAAAATCCCTCTGGAAACACCCCACAGACACCCAGAGTAATACTTGCCCTAGGTGTTTTCTTAATTCAGTCAAGTTCACCCCTAAAAGTAGTCATCACAGATGAAAATGAGGCAAATGTTACAAATTAATTTGTGACCTAAATGTGTGGGTTTGTTTTTTTTTTTCCTATATGTAGTTCTGAGGCATTTTCCTCTTTGGTTTTGAGAATTACTTGAAATTAGAAAGCTAGAATTTGGTACTATGAAGGAATTTCTTTCATTCACTAAGTTAGGAGATTGGTTTTTAAGTTTATTCATTATTCATGAGAGAGAGAGAGAGAGAGGCAGAGACAGACAGGTCCCACCAGCATGGTCTCCATACTGCAGTGAGCCCCCGGATCCCTGGCACACACTCGTGGCCAGCTGGTGTCTATAACTAATGCGATGAGAAGGAAGGTCCTGAGTACGAACACAGGATCCCTCCCAAATGGTCCAGTGGTGTTAGCGCTGCGCCTCCAGCTGGGCCCAGTAATGGGGATTTATGGTAAGAATGGAAAAGTTAGGTCTGGGGAGACTGTACAGTAAGAACAAGATGTTGTCTTGGGTCCTTTGTCATTTAAATGCTAGGTGGGAAGACAGGAATGATGGGTGCAAGGCAGAGCTGCACGTGATCACGTGCCAGATCGCAGTGATGTGCTGGAGCCGAAGAGTGCAGTATTGGTATCTGGGGCGGAAGGGAAGGGATGGGAAAGGTGGCACAGTGCTGAGTGCATTGGAAGCGAGCCCTAGGCGGTCTGAGCGTGGATTAAGATCATGCTGAGTGTGTGCACACGTGCCCAAAATCCCAAGAGAAAATGGAGGAGGGGGGATTGTGGTACGGCCATCCTCCCTGAGGGCTGATTTCTCACCTTCCCTCTCTCTGGCGAGTGCACACCCTATGGCAAAGACTGAAACAAAGATAACTACCGCCCTTGCCGTCCTGTATAGGCCCCAGTGTAACCTGCTTAATGTGAATCTGGCCGTCATGCCTTCCACTAGGTTCCGTTCTCAGGTAGGTGAGTCACCACACTTTTGGTGTTAGTGTCCTCATAGTTAGGATACTTCATGATTACTTTCGTTAGAATAGAACTGTGGGGGCTGGATTGCCACATGGCTGACCACATTTCGAGTCCCAGACCTGGCGGCTTTCTCACTTTCCCTTTCTCTCTCTTGGTCTCTGTCTGGTCAAATTAAAAAAATAACAACAAATGGGAACCAGCAGTTAGCGTAATGGCTATGTCGTTGGACTCCCACGTAGTCGACCGCGGTTCGTGTCCCGGACCCGATGGCTTAAAAAAAAAAAACTCACGCCGTGCGCGTGTGCGTGCGTGCCCAAGATCCCGAGAGGAGAATGGAGGAGAAGGGATTGCAACGTGACCATCCCCCCTGGGGGGTGATTTCTCGCTTTCTGTCTCTATGTCTCTCTCTGTCTGTCTGGCGAGCGCACGCGCCCTACAGTGAAAATCTCTCCCCCAAAAAATAATAATAATATAACAAATGGAAGTAAAGAAATAAATCTTTTAAAAAAAGGTGTAACTGTGGGCTCCGAATCACACACTGATAGGAGCAGATAAACTATGCTGTGGAGTAGAGTGTGTGTCTTATGTTCAGCAAAAGGACTGTTAAATGGGTACCAAGCAATGTCGAATACCCCTGTCCATCAGGTAGAATGATTCTCCTCACGAGAAATCCAGTCTCTGGACCAGACTGCTGCCTCCAGCTCCACCTAGTTGTCGGCTTCGTTCTGCCTTACACCTTACACTCAGATTAGATTGTGCTATTTATAATTCATCATTTCCTTGTACATTTTGTTCTGTTTTAATCTTTATACCTGTGCCTGGGATCTCCCTCAGCTCGAGATTTCTCCATATAAATATATTATTGAAAAATGAAGTCTCTGTTTAGGAAAGAGTCTTTGCCTTTCTGTCCTCCCATTTAACTGATTTACATAGCTTTCTCTTTGCCACTACACTGTATGCATTTCTTTTAAAAATTTTTAGAATTATTTGTTAAATTCCATTTGTTGTTACTATCATTGTTATTATTATTAAATGTGACCAGAGAGAGACAGAAAGAGTGAGAAAGGGAAAGCAAGAAAACAAGCCACCAGGTCCGGGACTCAAACACAGTTGGCCATGTGGGAATCCAGCATCTTTAATCACCACGCCACCTGCCGGCCCCCACCATATGCATTTTTGTTCTTACCATTTACTCCATTACATCGGAATTACTTTTGTAACAAAATGGTATTTTGTAATTTGCAGGAAACGTTAAACTTCCTTAGGTCAGGGCTGTTGCTTTATTCACTTTGATCTTCAGCACAGTGCATGGTGCTGTCAGTCTTCAGAAAGTATTTCTTAAAACCCAGTGTAACGGAGGCTATTTAGGAATGGACAGTCCTTGTGGAATATGCCTATAGTAGTAAGTATCTTAAATTTTAACAGAAACTTTCGCTTCAATCAGGTTTAAGTATTTATGATGTCCTTTTGTTTTCTTGCATGTTTTCTTGGCTGAATGGAAATAGAGAAGAAGAAAATGAGGTATGTATGACTTCAAGGATTATGGATTGACTTCTAAAACATTTTAGAAATTGGGTAAAGACTGAAAACATTCAAAATGTAGCTATCATTTTGAATGTGAAATGAAGTAATAGTTTTTCTTAATTTTGTTTTTGGAGCTACAATAACGCATTAAGAATTACGTTATTTAACTTTATTTATTTATTTACTTATTTATTTTAATTTGTCTGGAGAGGGACAGAGAGAGAGGGGAAGAGAGGGAGAAAGCGAGAAAGCAAGCCGCCAGGTCTAGAACTCAAACCATGGTTGGCCATGTCAGAATCCATTGCCCTTAACCACCATGCCACCTGCCAGCCCCAAGAAAATGGCTTTTAAGTATTAGAGTTTCAAGAGCTTTAGGAAAGGTAGAGGAAGCTGGCAGCTCTGGAAGACAGCTTTACTTGTTTTTATGTATTGAGCTTCCATATAAGATTTAATTTGAAAAGTCAATACTGTTTTTTAAAAAGTATTTGAAAACCCCTGTTCTCTTATAATCCATGGTAAAATATTCCCTCTTTCACTGGAATGGTTACTGTATGATTTTGAAAACTGATTTTGATGTCATATTGCTGAAAGGGAAAATTATACTCTTAAAAAGCCAAAGTTAATTAAAGGACATCAGGAAGAAAAATTTTGCACGACCAGCATTTGGCGTAATGGCTATTTCGCTGGACTCCCATGTAGTCGACCATGGTTTGAGTCCCGAACCTGGTGGCTTAAAGTCACACTGGGTGTGTGTGCGTGCATGCCCAAGATCCCAAGAGGAGAATGGAAGAGAAGGAATTGCAGCGTGGCTATCCCTCCTGGGAGGGGATGGTTTCTCGCTTTCTGTCTCTCTTTTTCTCTGTCTTTCTGGCGAGCGCATGTGCCCTATAGCAAAAACCTCTCCAAAAAAAAAAAATTGTATATAATGAGTGTACAGTCTTTAATTTACACTCGACTTTGTTGCCTAGTTAGGTTTTTCTGGTGTGCTTTCCACAACCTAAATTATGCCTTTAACTTTTTTTTTTTTTTTGAAAAAAGAATTATTTTATTTTATTTATTATTTAGGGTACATGTGCTTACCAGAGAGAGAGAGAAAGAGACAGAGACAGAGTGGAGAAAGTCAGAAAGGTAGCCATCAGGTCCAGGAATTGAACCATCATGTGGGAGCCGAGTCCAATACCTTAACTACCACACTACCTGCTGGCCCCATGACTTTAATTTTCTAAAGTCCACCATTTCCTTTGGTGACTTGGTAAATACTAGAGGGAGTTAACTATATATACATACATGTGCATACACACACACACGTTTTGTAATTGTTCATACAGTAGAATTAGACAGTAACTCAGTGTCGCCTGAGTATGTGGTGCTCAGGCATTGACAGTGGCTGAGTGTCAGGTCAGAAGGCCTGGTCCTCATTTAACTACCTCATCTGTGAAAGGAGTGAGATGGAAAGCTGCTCTGTACTGTGGTTTCCCTAACTTGGGGAGTTTGACTAGAATGACCAGTGGTGCTTGTTTAAAAACGAAACTAAACCAAACCAAAGGGACAAGCTTTCTTGCCTCACCTTAGAGCCCAAGAGATGATATTCCCTAGAGTGTGGGTCACAGATGTGCAATTTTACCACTCACCCACAATGGATTTTCTGTGGTGGTTTTGATGGCTTCTGGTGATTCTTCTCAGATGAAACACAAGAACTAGTTATTTTGAGTACTGAGATGCTAGCTATTGTTCTTGATGTATGTGCTCTTTAAATACATTCCAAAATTTTCAAAAACACTACTTGAAAAATAGTATTAAAACCAAATGACATGTTTTTATGTACAAGAGAACAAGAATAGAAAAATCAGAGTAATTGTTGAAGCTGGTAGTGGATACTTTAGGGTTTATTATACCATTCTCTGTACTTTTGAGTTTGTTTAAACATTTCCATAAAAGGAGTTTTTAAAAATCTCTATCAGTTTAGTGAAAGTTGTACTATTTACTATTAAAAAGGTATTTTCATCTTCCTGACCAATAAACATTTTAAACTGTGATGTTAAACCATTTTAACGTATTGTGGTTTGTAATTGCTTATTTTGCTCATTTATAGGCTAAGATTGAAAATGTGCAGAAGACAGGTTTCATCAAAGGACCAATGTTCAAAGGTGTTGCTTCTAGTCGATTTTTGCCCAAAGGCACCAAGACAAAAGTTAATTTGGAAGAACAGGGACGGCAGAAGGTGTCATTCAGCTTCAGCCTTACAAAGAAAACGTTGCAGAATAGGTTTCTCACTGCACTCGGGAATGAAAAGCAAAACGACACACCTAACTCCTCAGCAGTACCTCTTCAAGTAGACTCGACCCCCAAAATTAAAATGGATGTTGGAGATACCTTATCTACCACAGAAGAATCTTCCCCACCAAAATCAAGGGTAGAATTGGGCAAAATCCATTTTAAGAAACACCTTCTTCATGTGACATCCAGGCCTCTGTTGGCTAATACCACAGCAGTAACATCTCCACCTCCTCCCACGGCGCAGTTACCAGCAGTCATTGCAGAATCAACAACTGTAGACTCACCACCCTCATCTCCACCCCCACCACCTCCACTGCCCCCAGCCACAACACCTTCACCACCAGCACCAGAGCCAGTGGCCTTGCCACACACACCAGTAACAGTTCTAATGACAGCACCTTCACCAGTTGACCTGGCAGTTAAAGCTCTGAAAGAACCACCAGTTGAAATTGTGCAAGGATCTTCAGAAGTGGATACTAAGCAGGACATTGTATCTAATAGTTCAGAAGAACATGTAACTCACAATTTGAATGAGCAAGCAGATACTCCTTCACAAAAAGAAGATTCCCATATTGGGAGGGAAGAAGAAATTCCAGATAGCTCTAAGATTAGTCTTAGCTCTAAAAAAGCAGCTTCTAAGAAGAAATCTTCACATTCTGAGGGCACCTTTATTTGTTCAGAATCTGATGAAGATTCTGTACGGACTTCTTCAAGTCAGAGATCACATGACTTAAAATGTTCAGCAAGCATTGAAAAAGAAAGAGATTTAAGAAAGAGCTCAGCACCTTTAAGAAATGAGGATTCAGGTAAATCTTCACGATCTAAAACAGAGAGAGATGATAAATATTATAGCCACTCAAAACCTGAAAGAGATAATCGGTATGTATCTTCCCGAGGTAGGTCAGAAAGAGAGCGAAGGCGGAGCAGATCTCGCTCTAGATCTGACAGAGGCTCTAGAACTAGCTTATCCTATTCCCGGTCAGAACGATCCCATTATTACGACTCTGATCGTCGCTACCATAGGAGTTCTCCTTATCGAGAGAGGACACGCTATTCTCGGCCATATGCAGATAACAGGGCACGAGAGAGTTCCGACTCTGACGATGAGTACAAGAAGACATACTCTAGGCGCACCTCATCTCACTCTTCCTCCTACAGAGACCTAAGGACGCCGTCATCCTATTCTAAATCTGATCGGGACTGCAGAATAGAGACCTCGTACTTAGAGATGGAGAGAAGAGGAAAGTATTCTTTAAGAGAATCCAAAAGAACTTTAGAAAATGAAGCAATTAAAAGATGTTATTCTCCCCCTAATGAACTGGGATTCCGGCGGGGGTCATCACATTCAAAGCACGATAGCAGTGCTTCCCGTTATAAAGCTGTCCCTTCAAAACCTACGCCCAGGTCTGATAAATTTAAAAATTCTTTCTGTTGTACAGAATTAAATGAAGAAATCAAGCAGTCTCATTCTTTTCGTTTACAGTCTCCTTGTTCAAAAGGTAGTGACTTAAGAATGATTAGTAAAATTCCTGAAAGAGAAAAAGCCAGGTCTCCATCTCCTTCAAATCGATTGAATGATTCACCTACTTTTAAAAAGCTAGATGAATCGCCTATTTTTAAGTCTGAATTTATAGGACACGAGAGCCACGATAGTATTAAGGAATTCGACTCTTCATCTAAAGTGAAGAATGATCAAGTAAGAAGTTTTTGTCCCGTAGAATTAAATATAAATGGATCCTCGGGGGCAGAATCGGATTTGGCAACATTTTGCACTTCTAAAAGTGATGCTGTTGTGATGACTTCTGATGATAGTGTGACTGGATCAGAGGTATCACCTTTGGTCAGAGCATGCGTGATTTCCTCAAATGGATTTCAGAATGTTAGATGCAAAGAAAAAGACTTGGCTGATACTCGCATGCAACATCATAAGTCAGAAAGCCCATTTAGAGAAACAGAACCTCCCATGTCACCACACCAAGATAAACTCAAGTCTTTGCCAGTCATGACTACAGATTATTCTAAAACAGTAGTTACAGAAGCTGTTGATGTACGAGTCGCTTGCTGCAAAACCAAAGATTCAGATATAGATTGTACTTCAAATGACAATAACCCTTCTTTGTGTTATTCCGAAGCTGAAAATGCCGAGCCTTCAGTTATGAAGATTTCTTCAAATAGCTTTATGGATGTGCATTTGGAATCAAGAGCTGTCTGTGATAATACAAATCTGACAGATCAGCATTCACAATTTGTATGTGAAGAATATAAGCAGGGCGTGGGCAGCACTAGTTCAGCTTCCGTTAATCATTTTGATGATTTATATCAGCCTATAGGGAGTTCAGGTATTGCCTCATCTCTTCAGAGTCTTTCACCAGGAATAAAAGCAGACAGCTTAACTCTCTCGCAATGTGGAGAGAACACATCTTTAGTTCCAGATGCAGTGTTGAAGACTAAAAAAAGCACAGAGTTCTTAAAGCACGCAGGGAAAGAAATAGTAGAAGTAGGTAGTGGCCTTCCTGATTCAGGAAAGGGATTTGTTTCCAGGGAAAACAGGCATAATAATGGGTTATCTGGGAAACGTTCACAAGAAGCTCAAGAAGAAGGGAATTCCGTGTTGCCTGATAAAAGAGGAAGACCAGGAATCCCGCTAGATGGAGGAGGAGGAAGAGGATGTGTCCATACTTCTGATGGTTCAGAAGTTGTGTTTTCTTGTGATTTGAACTCAACCCTGGAAGACAGTGATGGTGTAACTGATACCTTAAGATGTGATAGCAGTGGGCATGCCCCGGACATTGTATCTACTGTCCATGAAGATTATTCTGGTTCTTCTGAAAGTTCAAGTGAGGAAAGTGATTCAGAAGATACAGATTCTGATGATAGCAGTATTCCAAGAAACCGTCTCCAGTCTGTTGTGGTTGTGCCAAAGAATTCTACTTTACCCATGGAAGAAACAAGTCCTTGTTCTTCTCGGAGCAGTCAAAGTTACAGACATTATACTGACCACTGGGAAGATGAGAGATTGGAGTCAAGGAGACATTCGTACGAGGAAAAATTGGAGAGTCTAATAAGTAAAACCTGTCCTCAAACTGAGAAGTTCTTCCATCATAAAGGAACAGAGAAGAACTCAGAGGTTTCTTTTACACAGTTCAGCAGAAAGCAAGTAGATAACCACCTGCCCGAAATAGCTCACCCTCAGAGCGACGGGGTAGATAGTACAAGTCACACGAGTGTGAGCGCTGATCTTCTGGGCCACCCAAATTCAGAGAAAATGGTAAAAGCAAAAATATCCTCTAGACAGCATGAAGAGCTCCCAGTTTATTCTTCTGATGATTTTGAAGATGTCCCAAATAAGTCTCGGCAGCAGACCACTTTCCCTAACAGGCCTGATAGCAGACTGGGAAAAACAGAGGCGAGTTTTTTTTCCTCTTGTGAAATCTCCCGAGTGGATGGTTTGCACTCACCAGAAGAACTCCGAAACCTAGGGTGGGACTTCTCTCAGCAAGAAAAACCTACTACAACATACCAGCAACCTGACAGTAGCTATGGGGCCTGTGGTGGCCACAAGTATCAGCCAAGTGCAGAACAGTTTGGGGGAGCACGTTGTTACTGGCAGGGCAATGGCTACTGGGATCCGAGGTCAGCAGGTAGGCCTGCTGGAACTGGGGTTGTGTACGAGCGAATCCAGGGGCAGGTACCAGATTCCCTGACAGATGACCGCGAAGAGGAAGAGCACTGGGATCCGCGGGGTGGCCCCCACTCGTTCAGCCAGTCCAGCACATTGCTTCCATCCCTTCAGAAAGACAGAGGGTCAGTGCAAGCACCTGAAATAAGCAGCAATTCCAGTAAGGACTCTTTAGCTGTGAATGAAAAGAAAGATTTCTCAAAAAACTTGGAAAAAAATGATATCAAAGACAGAGGGCCTCCTAAAAAAAGGAGGCAGGAATTGGAGAGTGATTCGGAAAGTGATGGCGAACTCCAGCATAGGAAGAAAGTTAGACTGGAGGTGGAGCAGGGAGAGACATCGGTGCCCCCAGGCTCGGCGCTTACCGGGCCCTCCTGTGTCATGGATGACTTTCGGGACCCACAGCGGTGGAAAGAATGTGCCAAGCAGGGGAAGATGCCTTGTTACTTTGATCTTATCGAAGAAAATGTTTATCTAACAGAGAGGTAAGCCTAATGAAGACTTATTTTGACAAATTCTAATCTCTCTTTGTTAAAAAAAAAAGTCAGCTTTTTGTGTGTGTGTGTGAGAGAGAGAGAGAGAGATTTTTACTATTGGGTATATGCGCTTGCCAGAGAGACAGAGACAGAAAGCGAGAAATCATCCCCCAGGGGGGATGGCCATAGCACAGCCCATTGTCCTCCATTCTCTTCTCAGGATTTTAGGCATGCACACACACCTGGTGTGGGTTTCAAGTCTCTGGACCCAGGACTCGAACCGTGGTTGGCCACATGGGAGTCCAGCAATGTAACCATTAAACCATTAATTTAGGTTAACATAATTTTCCTTTAATTCCTTTTTACATGACAAGGTGTGACATAAAATGGAACAAAGCTCCAGCAGAAAAGTCTGTTCTTAGAGAAGAAAAATGTGCCATTATTTTGGATTTTTTTTCCCTTTTCAAAAATGTTCAGAATGAAGTGCCTTTAGGTCATTTATAAACCTGAAATTAGACTAGAACATGGTTTCCTTTTGTCATTTTTTTTTTTTTAACTTATTGCTAATAGATTAAATTTGGCAATAGCATAACAAGTGTTTTAGAAATGGTAAAGTGGTTTATCAAAAATCCCTGTCACGGGAACCAGCAGTTAGCGTAATGGCTATGTCGCTGGACTCCCACGTAGTCGACCGCGGTTCGTGTCCCGGACCCGGTGGCTTAAAACTCACGCCGGGCGCGTGTGCGTGCATGCCCAAGATCCCGAGAGGAGAATGGAGAAGGGATTGCAGCGTGACCATCCCCCCTGGGGGGTGATTTCTCACTTTCTGTCTCTATGTCTGTCTCTGTCTGTCTGGCGAGCGCACGCGCCCTACAGTGAAAATCTCTCCAAAAAAAAAAAATCCCTGTCACAGGATGGGACTCAGCCACAGTGATGCAGCTGTGAAGGCCACTGTGCAGAGGGAGTCTGCGGTTCCATTCCCGCAACACCAGCAGGCCAGGCGTGATGGTGTGTGCCTGTGATCCTAGCTAACTGGGAAGATGAGGCAGGGGACCACAGCAGAGAGACTATCCAAAATACCAAGCACCTCTCTTGGGCTCACTCTCTCATTAATAAAAAGGAAGCACGGGGGTTGTAGGAGGGCCAGGTCGGGGCACAGGTGGGTCAGTGGTAACACAGTGCTCTGAGATGCTGGACTCACATGGAGCCCCTGGTTTGCATCCCAAGGCCTTCTTGTACTGTCTGTGCATACACTCATGTGCCCTTGATCTGGCCGACTAAGGCTGGGGTTGAATCGCAGCATGAGGACTCTCTTGGGGGTGCCCCCCCCAATAACTAAATAAAGAAAATCCCTGTCATGAAACAAGGTATAATGGGAGTAGGAGCAGAGCTCCTCAGACTGTTTTAACTTTCATCCTCTTCAATAATTGTATTTTTCCCATGTAAATATATGTTGAATGTGCCTTTAGAAAAAAAAAAAAAAAAGATTTTTGCAATAGGACACATGTACTTGCTGGAGAAAGAGAGAGGGAAAGTGAGAACTCACCCCCAGGGTGGATGGCCATGCTGCAATCCCTTCTCTTGGGATTTTGGACACACATGCACACTTGCTTAGCATGTTTTTCAAGCTGCCAGGTCCAGGACTCAAGCTGCGCAGTTGGCCATGCGGGATCTAGTGCCTTAACCACCACACCACCTGCTGCCCAGCTTTTTTTTTTTTTTTTTTAATAATGTTTATTCATTTAGTTTTTTCATAAGAGCAAGAAGGAGAGACAAACAGCACCCACTCCCAAAGGGTCTTGATGCTGCCTATCCACCTCCAGCCAGTCTCAAATCATGTGCATGGTCATGCCTGGCATACTCAGGAAGGCCTTGAGATGGGAACCTGGAACCTTCCCATGTGGGTCAACCTTGCAGAGCATTGTGTTTTACTGCTGCATCACTACCAGGCCCCTGAATGCACTTTGAAAAATAAACAGAGCCAAAATGATCCTACCCACCTACTTCCTCCTTGTGGAAATTTTCCTCCTAGTTGAGCATCATCCTAGCCATCCTCTTTTTTTTTTTTTTTAATAATATTTATTTAATTGTATTTATAATAATAGTTATTATCATTTAATTTGACCAAAGAGACAGCAAGAGAAGAGGAAAATGAGAAAGCAAGCCACCAGGTCTGGGACTCAAACTGTGGTCAGCCATGTGGGAGTCTAGCTCCCTTAGCCTCCATGTCACCTGCCAGCCCCACCATCCTCTCTTTAAGCATTCAGAATTTCGTTGAATCAGACTTTTCACTGTGGATAAGGTAAAAGACTTGATTTCAATGCTAGGCCCCATCAGAATTTTTGTCCTATTAAAAAAAGTTTTAATTTTTTTTATGTTATAGAGACCATCTTACAGTTAATTTACATCTAGTTGTAAATTAGGCTTTAATTCAAAATATTGGCTATTTTAAGTAGTACCCTTTAGGAATTTTGTGAGTAGACTAATGGACCTCACAAGATTTTTGTAAAAGAGCATAAATAAAAGTTAGCAGCCCAGTTCTCTGACTTTTCTTTAGCAGTGGTGGTCAGATCATATATAAAGTGCACAGAGATCTGGTTGGTGGAGGACTCCCACCGTTCTGGAGTGAGAAGTATTCAAATATATCCAAGATTGAAAGTGCCTATTATGTGCTAGGCACTTAGGAGCCCCCAAGAAGACAAATTATAAAATATTACTGTGAATATGATGAAAACATTTTTCATATGTCTAACAAAAATAGGTTTGCCTGTAAAAACCTGTGCCCGTTAGTCCTAATCTCGCTTTCTAGAGCAACATAAAATAAAGCTGCTGCTGATTGTTCAGGATTCTGTCTCTTGGGTTAGCTGGTAGCAATGGTTAAGGTGACTAGATTCCATATGGCTAGCTGGGCAGTCTGAGTCCCAGACCCCATGGCTTGAGAAATGCCGGGTGCATGTATGTATGTGCCCAAAATCCTGGCAGAAGAATTAGATGAGGAAGGGCTGCAGCAGGATTGCAACCCCCCGGGTGGTGCTTTTCACTTCCCTGTGCCCCAGCGAATGCAAGCTCCCTATGGGCAAATTTTAAAATGAAGATTATATCTCTTTAAGTACTTATAGATATTTTGTTTATCTTAGTCATCTTTGGTTGAGCATACTCAAATACTGAGTGAATTACATATTTTTAAAATCTTTTTTAAAACATTTATTTATTTATCTGTTTGTTGTGAATTTTTAGCCTCTGGGTCCAGCACTTGAACTGCACTCAGTCATGTGGGAGTCCAGTACCTCATCTACTGTGCCATCCTCGGCCCCAATCAATTGTATCTTCAGTTGATACAGAAGGATCTTTCTTTTTACCTAAGCTTAGCTAAAACATAATACTCAAGGTGCTTTATAAAACTGGAGCTAGAATAGAACATATGTTGAAAATTAAAGCAGATTAGAGTTAGGAGATTAAGATAGCTACTTAGACCAGCTGTGCTCTTCCCTGTCTGACAGTTGAAGAGCAAGTTATAATTCCCTAGTCTTAAGCAGATATTTTTTAGCTATCCTTGATTTTGGTTTTTGGACCCAGGGTCCATCCACTCCCACTACCACACATACACACAAAAAAGCCAATACATAATCATTTTTACTTTTTCTTCTTTCTTCTTGTCTTTCTGGTTTTCTGTCTTTGTGTATTTTTTCTTCCTGTCATTTTGTCTTTCTTTTGGTCTGTTTTTCTGTGTGTCTGTGTCTTTCTGTCTTTCTCTCTCTCTCTCTTTTTCTTTTTTTTAAATTTCTATCTCACTAAGAAAGGGTATTGCCAAGTTACCCAGGGTGGACTTGAAGTCATGATTGTCCTGCCTCAGCCTTGTACATAGCTGGGGTTACAGGTGCATCCCACTTTGTCTGGCTCTCACATTTTCACTTTTGCTTTGCAAACTCTGGCATGGGTTTTTGTGAACCAAGTCAAATTCGAACAGCTTCTATTCTCTTCCGAAATAAGTTTATCTGCATTGAAAAAAAGATTTGAATTATAAGTCTTACATTTTTAGCAACTCCTTTTCTTCCTCAACATTTTACCTTGACTATTTGTTCATCCGGTAGGTCTGATTCTTAAACTTAATTTTAATCAGGGAACCAGCAGTTAGCGTAATGGCTATGTCGCTGGACTCCCACGTAGTCGACCACGGTTTGCGTCCCGGACCCGGTGGCTTAAAACTCACGCCGGGCGTGTGTGCGTGCGTGCCCAAGATCCCGAGAGGAGAATGGAGGAGAAGGGATTGCGGCGTGGCTATCCCCCCTGGGAGGTGATTTCTCGCTTCCTGTCTCTCTGTCTCTCTCTGTCTGGCTGGCAAGTGCACACACCCTATAGCAAAAACCTCTTCAAAAAACCCCACAAAACTTAATTTTAATCAGCAACATTACAATTGGAAACTCATGTGTCTCCCTTACTCTCCTGAGCCCCGTTTGACTTCAGCGCTCAATTGCTAGAGTCCGAGCTTTAGCTGATCTGGACTAGGAGATAAAGAATGCCCTAACATGACAGGCTCCAGCTCATCACACCCTCCATCTGCCGAGCCTAGGGCTGCTCTTCTCGTCTTTTTTGAAGTATAGTTTTTAGGGTTTTCTGTCTTACAAGTGCTGATGATTGAATGTTTTTTTCCTCCTTTTAAGTGGTTTATTTTTAAGAATCACTTAATATGGGGGCTGGCAGGCGGCGTGGTGGTTGGAGGCTCTGGACTCCCACATGGCTAGCTGTGGTTTGAGTCCTGGACCTGGTGGCTTGCTTTCTCGCTTTCCCTTTCTTTATCTCTCTGGTCAAATTAAGTAATAATAACAAATGGAATTAAATAATTCTTTAAAAATGAATCATTAAATGTGAAACTAAGGAGACTTGAACATTTGATTGTATATGGTGTACTGTCATCAGGATATTTATTTAACCAGTTTTTATGAAACTTGACCCAATAGAAAGAAGAATAAATCCCATCGGGATATTAAGCGAATGCAGTGTGAATGTGCACCTCTTTCCAAAGATGAACGAGCTCAAGGTGAAATAGCATGTGGGGAAGATTGTCTTAATCGCCTCCTCATGATCGAATGGTAAGTGAATTAAAATGCTCTCCTTTTGCACACCTCTTCTATATAATATCTGTAAATATTAGAATTATTGAAGAGTAAAATTTTACTTTTCTCCTACCAAGAGATGAATATTTATAAGCAAGAAAATCTCCGACGTATGATAGGAAACAGATACTTAAAAGGAGAGAGATTTCCCTTGCATCGTGCCTTAGATTATAGTATCTGGCCCAGATACTATAAAAAACACTTGTGTCACCAGTGCTAATACAGTACGGGTTGAGCCCCTAATGTGAAAATCCAAAATTCAAACCTTTTGAGTACTGACACGATGCTTCAGCTGGAAAAGTCTATCCCTGACCTCATGAGACAGGAGGCAATAAAGCACTGCTATACAGAAATACTGTATAAAATTACCTTTTGAGTATGCTTATAAGGAGTTTATGAAACTCAAATGAATTTTTGTGTTTAGACTTGGGTCTTATCTCCAGGATATCTCATTATGAATATGGGAGTATTTAAAATTCTGAAGAAATCCTAAACCTAGGGGCCAGCAGGTGGTATGATGGTCAAGGCGCTGCACACTCCCATATGGCCAACCACAGTTCAAGTCCCAGACCTGGTGGCTTGCTTTCTCATTTTCCCTCCCTTCCTCTCTGTGTCTATCTCTGGTCAAATTAAAATAAATTGAATGAATAAATAAAATTTAAAAAATAATTAAAAAAATAAAGAAATCCCAAACCCAGAAAACACTAGTATTTTGAATAAGGAATACTTCAACCTGTAGTATTTTTATTCAGTTCTTTTTTATCACTTGTAATGTTGTGATCCCTTCTCCATTCTTCTCTCAGGATCTTGAGCACTTAAGCACGTGTGCCTGGTGTGATTTTCAAGCTGCCAGGTCCAGGATTCAAACTGTGATCGGTCATGTGGGAATCCATTGTGCTAACCACCACACCACCTGTTGGCCCCTCAGTTCTTTTCTTGGGTAGTCTTTTCAGAACACTTTTTTTGGGGGGAGAGGTTTTTGCTATAGGGTGCGTGTGCCTGACAGAAAGAAAGAGATCGATGGACAGAAGGCGAGAACTTACCCCCCAGGGGGGATGGCTGCACCGCAGTCCCTTCTCCTCCACTCTCCTCTTGGGATCTTGCACACGCACATAGATGCGCCTGGCATGAATTTAAACCATCAGGTCTGGGACTCGAAATGTGGTCAACTACATGGGAGTCCAGTGACATAGCCATTACTCCATCTGCTGGTCCCTCAGAACACTCTTAATGCCTATGCCAAAATAGATAGATGTTCTACCATTTTAATGTATAGAAATAAAGTCTTGCACTGTCTTATGTTTGGTAGTCAACCCCTCAAGCTATACATACAGACCTACCTAAGTCTTTCCGGTTGGCTGCCTAACGATTTGTGCTTGTAGCTAACCCATAATTATTAATCTTCCATTGATAAACATTTGCTTCTGCAATCTTACAGACTGTGAATATCTGTACATTAAAAGCCGGTCATTTCTTTAGAAAGTTGATTGCCGTAACAGCTTTGTGTCCTTGGTGTAACCTTTGGAGGTGTTACTTTGTTTTTTGAGAGTTTTTTTTTTTTTTTGAGAGATTTTTGCAATAGGGTATGTGTGCTTGCTGGAGAAACAAAGAGGGAAAGTGAAAAATCACCCTCCAAGGCAGGGGTAACCACACCGTGGTCCCTTCTCCTCTATTCTCCCCCCTGGATTTGGGCATGCATTGTATACACGGTAGCATGAGTTTCAGGCCACTGGGTCCAAGACTTGAACCGGGGTCAGCAATGTGGGTGTCCAGCGTCTTAATTGCTGTGCCATCTACTGGCCCTGTAAGTGTTTTGTTTTGTTTTTTCAAAGCTCAGTTGTTGGTTTTGCTTATATTAGTGTGTTGCAAAATGAAATATATATACCTTGAAAAAATAAAGATAACACATTTCTGGTGTCCTTTATTCAGACTAAAAGTAGAGCTAACAATAGAGGTGTAAGAAAATGCCACACAGAGTTAGCACTGTTCTAAATTTTCTTTAGCTGCCAGAGTGCGTGCACTCACTGGAGACAAATAGAGAGGAGGAAAGCGCCTCACAGGGGAGCGCGGCCACGCCACAATCTCATCTCCTGTCTCTCCATCCCGTGGGGATATGTGCCTGCTGCGTTTTTCAAGCTGCTGGGGCCTGAATGCAAACTACATGGTCAGACATGTGAGATCCAGTTCCCTTAATCACTAAGCTGTGGGCTGGCCCCTAAATTTTGTTGCTGTTGTTATTAAAGACTTATTTAACTTTATTTATTTGCTTATTTTAATTTGACCAAAGAGAGACAGAATGAGCAAGTGAGAGAGAGACAGAGACACAGAGACACAGAGAAAGTGAGAAAGTAAGTTGCCAAGTGGAGGACTCGAACCATGGTCAGCCACATGGGAGTCCAGTGCCCTTAACCAACACACCACCTGCGGCCCCACAGCTTCTAAATTTCTTATTTTTTGAATTATTTAACTTTTTTTTTTTTTTTTTTTTTTATTTTGCCCAGGGAGACAAGG